TTATAAAAGTGGCAGTCAATCCCGTTATTCAGTGCAAAGAGCTGGACAAAACCGTTATGGCGGATGCTGTTGTCTGGTCTTCCTTCCTTCCTTCTTCTACTTAGTCAGTAGTTTCAAATTAAGGAGAGCTATACCTGAACCAAAGAGGTCTCTGGCCTGGCATTCAGAATATGTGCGTGTAAGGTGCCGTTCAAGTTTAAAATTTCATTAACAATTTTACTTCTAAATTTTAAGTGTATAATATTGCTTTAAGTTCTACTCGAAGTTGTAATCCTAGAACACAAACTTGATGTGTCATTTCATAATAAGTTGATTTTGAAACTCAGTTGTTTTGTTTTTTTTTAAATACAATTTCGCATGACAAGATCATTTGAGTATTAAATTAGTAGCTTACATAAGTTTGCTTATATTTATGGTTATTTTGATGAGACAAGTTCAAGTTTTGACTGTGACATAACAGTTCCATGTACTGGGGAACTTGAGCGATCAGTTATAATGAGCATTGAAATGATTTGCTTTAAACCTTGCACTTCGTTTGTATAACGTGTCATTTTTATTTTCTCGTTTTTACTATCCAGCATTGGAATGTTAATACTTAACGTTCATAGCGTCTTTCAATACATTGCTAAAAGCTATTATAACAATTTAAACTGCACCAGAAGAAGTCGTAATTATTCATAATTACCCATGATTTGACGGGCGATCCATCTACTTAATTTGGGTTTGGATTTCTAAACCTATTTTCGAACTTATTTATGTCCCAAATGGCTTGTGAATTCATGATATTGTTATGACTGCGGGATCCCCAATGACATATGAAGCCATACACAAATTTAAATAAATAAAAAGGCCATTAATATTGGAATTGATCATATTAATTACTGCTGGGATCCTTAAAGTATCTTGCATAGAAAATGAGTGATTTCTTCACCTATTATTTATTTTTTGTCAGTTCTTTATACTGAGTGTTGTAACAGGAAAAAATTATAACTACTCAATATTAAGTGATAGCAAACGCTATAAAAGCAGGTCGGTAATTTTATAGTTGGTTCTCACTTTTTTAATAGTTCAAGATTTCCAGTTTTCAGATCTAGATGTATTCATCTCACTTTCAGCATTATTGTTAGTGTAACAAATACACGCACTACATGAACACCTTTATTTAGAAAAATGTAATTAAACTTTTAAAAAAATGTACAAGCTTTCAGTTGTGCTGATAATTACTGGTCAAAGGTCTTACTGAGAAGTTAACAATATAGTAGCAATTTGTTCTATACTTGATGATATATTTACCTTAGGATACGAACATTAAAAATCTCGTTTAGGTTATCTCTATGTATGACACGATGAAACAGTACTTTGCTTAAGTAAACGAAGCGTTTTTTTTTTATCCCTTCATTGTATGTTATAGTTATTCATTAATATCCCGCTAAAACATTTTCCGTAGTTACCGCTTCTACTTTTTAATTGTATTGTTAAAATGTATACATTTAATTTTCCATTGGTTCAGATTTCACGTGTAAATCAAAACCAACAATTTTGTTTGTCACAACAAGTAAAAGATAATCGTTCAAATGAAGCACATTAATCCACATTGCACATTAAAAACCCCTATATGGCTGCCTAAATAATGTCTAGTGCAGTGGGTCAGCAGTAACTTTACTGACTTACAACGCTAAAATTCGGGGTTCGATTCCTCGCGGTGGACATAGTGTTGATAACCCATTGTGTAGCTTTGTGTTAAACAACACAAACAAAGGCAGTTTCAAGTCACCTAGGTCAATAGCAAGGAATACCAATCAAAGAATTAATTAATTATCAATTCATTTACTCGATTGCTTACGATACACAAAAGTTAATTGTCGATCACAAAGAAAAAGTAAGTTTATTCTTTATGTGAGAGTACATCTACACGGGAATGGGTAGAAACAAAAAACGAAAACTAACTTTAAATTACTATACCAGCGTTAAGCCATGTTTGTTTGTTATATATATATAGAAAAAAATAAGCATTTTATCAAGCAAAACTAGGGCTTAGCGCTTAGTTGTTTGGAGACCCATTTTTCAAGTTATGTTAATTATAACGCGTGTGAAATTTGGTTAGAAGGATAAAAATCATAACTTTAAAAAGTAGGTGATTATGAAGAGAGAGAAAGGTGCTCTGCACGGTGTCAAAAAACTTACAGTTATAATTAATAGTCGCTCTCTACCTTCGTAGATTGTGTTACTGATACCACCCTCTTAGTTTTATCGTGGGGAGGGAGTACTTGACCCTGTTTAAGTAATCCGTGACTGTAACAGTGATAGGGTTTAGGTTTGTGATAAGTTTTGAAAGGCCAGCGTGGCTCCGACTCAATTTGCGCGAACATTTTGCGTGTGCTCTCGTTGACCAACCCGTGCGATTCCGTACCAGTTGGTAGAACATGTTTGAGTTGCCGCCGTCTAGGGAGGTTGGGCTACAATGAATTATGGGGTTGTATCGTCCTTATTGAAAAATTACAGGAGTTCATTCTTTAAGCAACTCGTGGTTTCGGGATACAGTACCGGAGAAGACACCCCCCCCCCCTCTTTCAACACACTTTAAACCATTGCATGGAATGATAAGTAGTGTAAAAGAGGAATGAAACGAAACAGTCTGGTACTTGTTGACCCTAAATATTTGTTCATGTTGATTATGATGTTTATACGGCAAGCACTTGGAAAAGATAGAGCAATATGCTACAATAGATAGAGCAATATGCTGTTTGGGGAGGACACGTACAACACAGTGAAGTGACACAAACAAGACCAGTTTGGTAACTTTTAAAGATACTGTTCAGCACTGAAAGCCTAAAACGTAAAAAGCTCCCAAAATATAAAACCTGTAGAATATACAAATTGATTAAAACGATTTAGTGAAAATACCTATACTTTTTAAAGAAAACCTTTTATAAAGATGTAAAAAATAACTGCATTATAATCAAAATGAAATTCAATATACAGATTTATATATTATCTATTTATTTATATGTCACAAATAAAATTTTATCCATAATAACTTAAAAAAACAAACTTCCTTGCTTTTTTTATTTAAACAAGATTAACAATTTTCTGTACGTTTTGAATATCACTAAACACCGTAGTGCTTAGTATGTAGGGATGAGCAGAGAAAATAATGGCTATCGCATTCAATCTATTACTTTATGATGCTTACAAATAACTACTAAAGTTGAGTTATAACCTTATTTGAGCACCTAATTGCCATTATCGAGTGTTTCACAACTTGTATAACAGTAATATGATTCTGTTCTTCTAACACACGTATTTTTGTGGGGAAATAATAAAAAAGAAAACTACTACTTAGCAGTGAGTTCAGTTTATTACTATGTTTCATAAATAACAGTTTCATTTCTGGTCGATAGATGGCAGCAAAGATTGTTCTTATATAACGACCGTTTGTGACTTTCGTTGTCCAAACATCATGTCTGCTAAAATAATTTCAGGAAAAGTAAATAAAAAAGAAAGAATAATCGAAATTATTATTCAAGGTATAAAGGAGATCAAGTATTTATGCAACTGACAGATCTGTGTACACGTTATTGGTGTCTGAGTTTACAAACACCAGTTTCTTAATTATCAAAACAATACATTATATAGCAGTCTACTCTTCTTAAAATTTTTAGTGGGACTGAGTCTGACAGCTATGCGTATATGCGTGATGTCATACCTCATGGTCTGGAATCTGTATGATGTCCTCCCTATTAATTGATATGATTCTAGTATGTGGTGGAGTCGATTGTATGCACATGCAGTGAGTTAAGGTGAAGTTGGAAGGCATGGGTTCTGTAAACATCCCCTTAACATTAATCCAGTGCTCTGGGATACATGTACCTTCCTGGAAGAACCATTCCAGCTTTGCTGGCCCCCATTGTAATCCAAAATTAGAGAAATTGACAAAACGGATATGATATTAACAATATATATTAACATTGAATTATAAAAATACAACAAATGTTCACTTATCAACCTACTTTAATGAAATTGTTTTAAAAAAGGAGAGGGAAATAGGTAATAAGAAAAATTTGCAAAAATTAAGTATGATGTAGGGATGGCAATGCCAAAAAGTATAGAAAAAGGTAGGGATGGATATTCAAAACTATTCAAAAATCCCAACATAAGTAGCCATTAAGTACGGAGTCAATCTTACTAGCCACTGCAAGACTTTATAACACTATTCAGTTTAAATGCTTTTATTCAAACCTGAATTCATGCAACTGATAGGAGTTCAACATTTAGTTGTAGATAAAAGGTATTCTTGTAAAGATTTGGTTACTTATGTATTGATTTTTGTATGGTTTTGTGTATTAATCTCTACCTTGTTTCTGTACTTTTTGGCATTGCCATTCCTACATCATACTTAAATTTTGCAATTTTTTATTACTTGTACATAATACAATTCTTCAGAATTAATTGTAAAATACTTTGGAAGTTGATTTTTTTTTTACTGTACCCATATTCACTCCGTAATTATATTTTATGTTTTTATCATCTTTGTATTTCTCTCCCCTTGCTCCCCAGCCATTGAGATTTTTCTGTACATTCTATTATTAACTTGTTGCTTTTTACAAGACATTATCATTTTGATTACTGGATTTGATTTATTAGTATAAATAAGTATAGTATAAATAAGGATGTCAGAGCTGTTGTAAGTTTAGATAAATTCGCACCTAAGAAATTAATATGGAATCTTTAAAACTATTCTCATTGGAAATAAAATCTAAGAGTAATATACCTGGGGAAATTAAAAATTGTAACTGGTTTGAACAACATAGCTGTGGGAAATCCTAATTTTGGACTGGTAAGGTTTAGTATCACTATAAATCTTTGAAACACAAATGCAAATACAGTTAATTTTCTTATTTTATTTTAGTAGTTGTATATATATATTAAATTGTTTTTTATTTCAACAGTCCATATTATTGCTTTTAAAGTGAGTGAATATGTGTACATTTTCTCTTTAGTCATGAAACAAAATCAACTACATGGACAGACCCACGTAAGAACCTCAGTGTTGGATCCTTGACCATGCCAAGAAATACTAATACTTTGATGTCTACATCTGCTCCAAATCTACCACCTATAAACCTGGGTCCCCTGCCAGAAGGATGGGAGCAGGCATTTACTCCAGAAAGTGAAGTGTATTTTATCAATCATAATGACCGTACCACAAGCTGGTTCGATCCACGATTAAGTAAGTTTGTTTCTATTCATCACATCATTTAAAAAAAATGTTCTCCAATTTTCCTTTTTTTTCATTCTTGGTTTACTGTTCTGCCTATTGCTTAATTTTTTAGTAAATTCTTTTAGAATAGTTTATATCACTTTGTTTCTTGTAGTATGAAAATCTTGATTGACATAATTATTTATGACCAGGGCTATTATAATATTTTGACTATTTCTTTAATAATCATGTGTTCTTATATTTTTACAAGTTTAGAAATACAGTACAGTTATGTTTTTTTTTTATATTTTTACAAATTTATAAGTGCATTATATTTATGTATTTGTTACTTTTGAAGAAAAATTCAGTTGTAGAAGCTTCTTAAAAGCCACTTTTTAATAAATTCAAAATAAGAGTTTTCAGTTACTATATCTGGGATTTAATCTTTTTTTTTAAGAAATACAACTGATGGAGGCTTCTATCTCTTTCTTTAAAATATATTTTTCATCAGTTTAAAACAGGATTTCATAATATTTTTCTGTGTAACAAGCTTTTATCTGTACTAAATTAATTTTATGGCAGGCTTGAATCAAAGTTATAAAACTTTCATAATCTTATTATTTTCCAATTAAGCTGCTAGGATTTCAGCAGTAACTGTGACATTACTTATAACTTGGATATACTCCTGCAAATAAACTGAGGTTTTGGGTTATATCTCATTCCCAACATGCTGTATTTGTTAATAAACAAGAAGAGAGACACCAGCAGTTGCAAGAAAACCTGCAACA